CGTTTGTGGGGGGGGGGGGGCCTGTCGAGCAGGCTACGCAGGAGGCCTTAAAAGCAGAGGTGGGTGAGCCAGTTTGGTGTCGTGGTCAGGAGTGCGCAGAGGACTCTGATCTGGGAGAGCCGGGTTTGATTCCCCCACGCCTCCACTCGCACCTGGCTGGATGACCTTGGGCAAGCCGTGGTTCTGACAAGAGCTGTTCTCTCGAGGGCAGTCCTTGAGAGAGCTCTCTCAGCCTCACCTACCTCACAGGGGGTGTCTGTCTGTGGTGGGGAGGGGAAGGGAGAGGAGTCTGTAAGCCGCTCTGAGACTCCTCTGGGTAGTGCAGGGCCATGGGGGATAAATCCAATCTCCTCCTCCTCCTCCTCCTCCTCCTCCTCCTTCTTCTTCTCTCCCCCCCCCCCTTCCATCAGGCCCCTTGAAGGAGCCTGGAGCAAGGGCGCTCTTGGGTGATGTCTTGGTGTGCTTCTGGACTCTCAGCCACTAGGTGGTGGTGGTGGTGGTGAAGTGACGCGGCGACGAGCTCCCCGACTCCCTCCAGCCACTTCTGGACTTCTCCCAGAGGTTCGGTTTCCTGCCAAGGTGGACAGAGACGAAGGCTTCCCCCGCCCCGCCCCGCCCCGCCCCCTGGCCGACGTGGAGACAGACAGACAGACAGACAGACAGGCAGTGGCTCCTTTGGCCAGCCGGGCTTCCAGGGAGGAGTGGTCTGGCGAGGCACTGCCTGAGACGCCCGCCCGGCCCCGCCACAGAGCCCACATTCCTTCCCCGTGACAGCCGGAGAGAGGGAGGGAAGGAGAGGTGCCACTGCCATGCAGCCCTTCGTACCTGCTTGGGCCCTTCTGCTCTGCTTCCCTCCCGGTAGGTCCCAAATGCACTGAGAGCCGTCCTGTCTCTCCGCTCCAGAGCAGGAGCAGATGAACTGGCCTCCTGCACCTTTGGCTGGAGACGTGGAGGGAGGTTAGGGCCGGGAGAGCCCGTCCCTGTCGTCTGATTTATGGCTGGGGGGGTTGGCTTCCAGGGCGGTGTTTGTGGGTGGTTTGCTGTTTCGCGTCGGCTGCTTTCCTTGGGTGTGTTTTGGTGCCAGCGGACACTCGTTGCCCCCTTTGCTGGCTGCTGTTATAGGATGGGGTGGGGAGAGGGTTGGACTCATCAGTTTCACTCCATCTCTTGGGTGGTGGTGGGGGAGGGAACGGGAGCCACAAGGCGCATCATGGCTCTCCTCAGGGGTCTGGACTCTTCTAGGCCCACATCTGGGCAGAGGCTACCAAGAACGCTCTTTGTGAAATGGCAACTTCAGTTCTTGACCTCCATAAAGCAAGCATGTGTTGCCTTCACCACCTTCATTTGGTCTGGGGTTCAGACGGTGTGTTTCGCAAATATGAGTAGGAGAGAACTTTGCACATGGGCCCTGCTCCATGCCTCCTCCTCCTCCTCCTCCTGGAATAGGAGCCCTGGGAACACCACAGGGGCCCGGTTCCCAGCTGCTTTTGGCATGAATAAGTTTTGCCAGGCTGCTTTATCACCTAGTCACCGTCCAGATATTTCTTGTGAAGGTGACAGGAGATGCCTGACCAGTCAGGGAGGGGGCAGCACAAGAATGCCAGGCCAGCTGCCACCGTGGGAGGGGGGGGGAGGCACGTGCCTCATAGAGTCATAGATCCTCACCACCACACGGAAGCTGCGGGGAGAGGGTGGGCAATGCACCCCGGTGGCCTGTGAATGCTCTTGTGAAGCATGACTCAGCCCCCCCGCCCCCCCGCCCCAGGTTTCCTGGGCCAAGTCCAGCCGCCACCCCTACTCGCTCCTGTTCTCCCAGGCTGCCTCTGCCCTTCTCGCCTTCCCCCCCTGCTGCAGAAGAGGGGTCCACCCGGCTGCCCTGCCCTGCCCCGGGGGCTGAGCTCGATCCTCATGCCCTCCGCCCAGCCTCCGGCTGCCAGGCTCAAACCTCTCCTGTGGCCAGATGCAGAGCTGGCTGTCCAAGGAAGGGAGGGGGTGCGGCAGGCCTTGGTGGTTCTTTGAGGACACACACTGGGAACAGGTCGGTGGTTTGGAGGTGCCGGCCAGGAGAGCATGTTTTGCGGCTAGAGCGCCCCCAAGTGGATCCACCTGGGCCAAACAAAGGCCTTCCCAAGGAGCCTGCCAGCTGGGCACAAAAGCAGAACTCAGCGCCGCTTGGGGGAGTTGTACGTCGTGGAGCCACATCCGGAGGCCCCGATCCCTCGGTCCTTGCGTGCTGCCCCTCCGGCCGGTGCCTGGGGAGCGCATCCCTCACACGGCTGCTTTGCTGCTCTTCCTCTCCAGGCCTCGCACTGAGCCTGCTGCGCTGGTGCACCGTCTCTGACCAGGAGCTGGCCAAGTGCAGCGACATGAGCAAAGCCTTTGCCGGGGCCAGCCTCCTCCCCTTGCTGGCGTGTGTGAATGGAGGCTCCACCAGCACTTGCACCTCCATGATCAACGTAAGTCTCTGATTTCCTTGTGTGCAGATCGGCCGTTTGAAGGGCAGGGAAGGAGACGGGGCCCGGGGGGGGGGGGCTTTGATTTCCAGGGAACATTTGACACCCCCCCTCTCTTCCACACACCCTTGCACCCTGTTTGGTTTCTGCGTATATCTCTACGGTGTTATATTTTCTGCTCTCAGCCAAACAAACAAGCTGCAGTTGATTACTCACCTCTCTTAATGAAACAACTGGGTAATGGTTAAAGGGGAAATAAATGCGTATTGCCAAAACTTTGCTACTGGCAAAGTATAGTGGGGCCTTTTGTGTGTTAAACTGTAAGTTACGAGCTGCAGTTAGAAGAAAAGGTGGTTCTTTTTACATTCCTTACCATAAAAATTCCACAGAACCAAAATTGCCTCAAAAAGCAAACAAGCAAACATGCCCATGATTTGTGGCACCACCTAAGGAACTGGCCCCCACTGATGAGTCAACTGAAGCGTTCTGTGAGCAGTCCAGCTAGACTGAAGCCCAGTAATACCTTAGAGACCAACAAAATTTTCCAGATATCTGACGAAGGGAGCTTCGACTGTCGAAAGCTCCTGCCCCCAAAATCTCACTGGTCTCTCTCTAAGGTGTTCCTGGACTCAAAGCTCGCCGATCTTCTTCGTGGTCTCTGTGCAGTCCCACACACGGCTACTGGGCCTGCACAGGACCTGAGCCTCGGAAGATTATAGAGCTTCTTTTGGTCGTCGTGGCGCACTTTCTCCTTAGGTTCTGGGGAGCGGGCGTGCTCTGCGTGTGCTCGGAGCTGCGGAGAAGGCACATCCCGCTCAGTTCCTCTTTGACTGCTGCTCAAACCGGACCTCTGTGCTTCCTCTCCTCGGTTGTTTGCTTCTTCATCGTCCTTCTTCTACTCCTTCGTGTTTTTCGTCTTCTGGTCATTTTGGGTCTTTCCACGGCCACTCCAGTGGTACAGCCATTCACCTCATCGGCCATGACCCAGGCAAATGTCTCTTCTGCAATCTCCTCCTTCGGAGTCAACCACCATGGCTTCTTCCCAACTTCCTCCGAACCAGGTAGTTATTTCGGACCCATCCCATCTCCCTTTGGTGCCATCTCGTCTTCCCCAGTTCGTCTTTCATCTGGACAGCGACGACTCTTTGAACATGCCTGGCTGCATGACCACCCGATCATCACTGGACTGCCCCTCGGTACCAATACCACTCTGGTTCCTGGAGTTCACACTCGATGGACCAATGCCACTCTTATCGTTCCTGGTCTCCTTTTTAACATCAAAGCCGAGATCATTACTCCTTAGAGTCTCGGACCCCAAGTTGTTGTCGGTCCCAACCTCAGTACTCGAGGGATTGCTCCAGGTCTCGGTCGTCTTATCATCCAGACCGTTCGTCTGCTCAACATCAACCCTGCTCTCAGTCTCGATCCTGACGCCCTTCTGGTGTACGCCGCAGATCAGCACGTCCACAGAGCATTTCCCCACCTGCTCCCCCACCTTCTCAACCTCCACACCCTTCAGTACCATTGCCTACAGACACCCCAATAATACATTTGCCTCCTCCACCACCAGCTCCTCTGTCTCCTCTGCCCACTAGGACCGTCAGACGTACCCTCCGATGACTCTGACTCTGAATCTGTAACCCTGCCAGATGTTTCCCTGGATCTGACGGTTGCTCCTCAGGGCTCGCTATCTCCTTCTGAGGGTTCCAAGTCCTACTTAGAGCTTATCCATTGCATGGTCAAAGCCCTGCAGTTTCAGGTCTCCTCAGAAACCCCCTGTCTGACAGACTTGTTTCATAAGCTGGTACAGTCTGACATCCCCTCAGTTGCTACCTGTTCACCTAGATGGCCTGAAAGAAGCTTGGGACAAGTCTGTCTCTGCTCCTCTTGTTTCCAAGCGTTTGGAAGCCCTCTATAGGGTCCAGCAACCTAATGCCAAATTCCTCTTTACACACCCTGTTCCTAACTCAGTCATCATTCAGACCTCCTCCACCACCCATCAGGCTAAGCAATCGGCTCCACCTGACCGTGAGGGTCGGAAACTTGACAACTTTGGGAGAAAGATCTACTCTCTGGCATCTTTGACAGCCAAGATTTATAACTCCCTCTCCTACCTTCCTGCCTATTCCTACCATCTGGTCAATCAGCTCATCCCGCTGGTTCCCAAATTTACTCCAGCTGATCAAGCTACTGCAGCGGCTCTTATTGCAGAGGCCTCCAGAGTGTCCAAACAGCAGGTCAGCGGCATTAAGCATGCCATCACTTCCTCCTCTCACACTTTGGCCACACCCCTTGCCCTCCGTCATCATGCCTGTTGCCCAGTGTGAAGGCCAAAGTTGAAGCTTTTCCATGCCATGACTGGTGAGGCCTTGAAGATGGTCAATGACAGGTGTAAGCAGGCACAGAATCTCGGTGTGACTCCGTCGATATCCCGGATCTACCCGAAGCAGCCATCCTGGAGGCCTTCCTCCGCCCGCTACTCTCAGTTGAAACCCTCTTTCTCTGCTGATTCCTGGGAGAAGAAACCTTCCAGCAAAAGCCTTCTACGTCGGCAAAGGGGAAACCTGCCTCAGACAAATGCCCTGACCAGTCCAGCAACCTTTCTGTTTGATTCCTTTCCCCTCGGGGAGCTTCTGTCACACACACCACCACCCCAGCTCCTCCTGTGGGCACCTGACTTCTCCCGTTTTTCCTCAGCGTGGGACAACGTCACCACAGGCTCCTGGGTCCTCACCCTAATCTGGGTGGGGTATACCATAGAGTTCACTTCTCTTCCTCCAACTCCACACTTCCTGCCCACTCCTCCTTCCCCTGTACTGCAGGACGAGGCTGGCAAAGCCTGGCTGGCAAAGGGAGCCATCGAACCCGAACCCCCGTCAGCCCACTGCCGAGGCTTCTAGTCCTGCTGCTTTCTTGTTCCCAAGTGCGATGGTGGAAAGAGGCCGGTCATGGATCTTGGCGAACTCAACCGGTCATGGATGCTCCACCTGGTTCTGAATGCCACTACTGCCAGGCCCGGCCTGCCTGGCCTCTGCAGACCTCCAGGATGCCCACTTTCACATCACTATTTGTTTGCGACATCACCGGTACCTACGGTTTTCAATAGGCGACTCCCATTATCAGGATCGTGTCCTGCCCTTCGGTCTCCCCACTGCACCTCATGTTTTCACGAAATGCATGGCAGTGGCCGCGGCCATGTTACATCTGCGGGGGGATCATCATCTATCCTGGCATCAACGATTGGCTCCTTGTCTCCTTATTGGTGACCCAACTCACTCCAACACAGTCCTTCGTAAGTGGACCTACTGAATGTCGAGGGTATTTCTTCTCCCGCAAAGTTCTTCCCTTTTAATTATGACAATTGTTTCCTGGTGCCAGGGCGGGGCTGGGGCAGCACAGGGCAGGGGTGCAGGATGCCATGTACAGTCACCCCCGCCTGTCCTTAGGAGTCAGCTGGGAAGCTGCAGGCATGATTTCGGCACCCCACAGTCCAAGGCATCATCCAAGGTCAGACAGAAGCTACGGAGCACCACATTCTCTGCTTGGCACTGCTCCCATCAGCTTGATGGGAGGGGAGGGGAGGGGAGAGGTTGTGGCTTTGCCAAACATCTCTGGTATTTTGCAGTGAGGAAGGACGGCAGCTCGTAAACTTTTAAAACAAATAACACCATCGTGTAGGCCATTCTGTCAGGAGAGGGCCACAACAGAGAATGCACACGTATGGGCAGTTGCTGATTTTGGCCATTTGCAGGGTGACACCCACAGAAGGCCCTGCTCAGATGAGCAAAGCTGACTTGCCAGAGCCAAGCAAGATGGTGTCAGTAAACTGCCATTTGCCTATTTGGGCAAATTGATCGAGAGGGCGGTGGTGACACAGCTTCAGAGCTTTCTGGATGATGCTTCTGTCCTGGACCCATTCCAGTCCGGCTTCCGCCCAGGTCACGGGACGGAGACAGTGCTGGTTGCCCTGACTGACGACCTTCGGAGGCATCTGGATCGAGGCGGTGTGGCGGCACTGTTGTTGTTAGATCTGTCGGCTGCGTTTGACACGGTCGACCATCAGTTGCTGACCCACTGCCTCGCCGACGTGGGGATTCAGGGGCTCGCTCTTTAATAGGGGAACAGCAGTCCCGGAGGCACCCATTTGAATGTGGTGTGCCTCAGAGGGCAGTGCTTTCCCTGATGTTGTTTAACATCTACATGCGCCCCCTCGCCCAGACTGCCAGGAGTCATGGGCTGGGTTGTCATCAATATGCTGATGACACCCAGCTCTATCTGATGTTGGGCGGCCGGTCGGACTCCGACCCAGAAGATCTGAACCGGGCACTACAGGCCGTGGCTAGGTGGCTCAGACTGAGCCGGCTGAAACTAAACCCAGCGAAGGCGGAGGTCCTGTGCCTGAGTCGGAGTGGACCGGGGTTGGGGCTCCCTCTCCTGACCTTCAATGGGGCGCCATTGGTGCCAGCATCGGAGGTTAGGAGTTTGGGAGTGCTCCTGGATCCCTCATTAACTATGGAGGCCCAGGTGGCATCCACTGCCAGATCTGCATTTTATCATCCTAGGCTGATTCGGCAGTTGGTTTCCTTCCTCGACCGCGATGACCTGGCTACAGTGATCCATGCCACGGTCACCTTGAGGTGGAGGGCTGCCACAGGAGGGGACAATTAGCCCCCCACTCGTGCATGTGGATCTTTCCCATGGGATGAGATCAGAAGGAAAAACAGCACTATGTTGCGGTCCCCTGAAGGTCACCTTTTTATGCTCAAACACGAGAATCACAGAATCATAGAGTGGGAAGGGGTCACAGAGACCATCTAGTCCAGCCCCCTGCCCAATGCAGGACCAGCCTAAAGCATCTCTGACAAATATTCGTCCAGCCTCTTCTTGAAAGCTGTCAATGAAGGGGAGCTCACCACCTCCCTAGGCAGCTGATTCCACCTCTGAACCACTCTGACTGTGAAAAAGTTTTTCCTAATATCCAGCTGATACCTTTCTGCATGTCATTTAAACCTGTTGCTTCGGGCCCTATCCTCCGCTCCCGACTGGAACTGCTCCTTGCCCTCCTCCAAAGGACAGCCTTTCAAATATTTACAGAGAGCAATCCTGTCCCCCCTCAGTCTCCCTCTTCTCCAAACTACACATTCCCAAGGCCCTTATAGCCTTTCCTCATAGGGCTCGGTCTTCAGACCCCTGATCATCATCCTTGTCGCTCTCTTCTGCACCCTCTCGATTTTGCCCACATCCTTTTTGAAGTGTGGCCTCCAGAACTGCACACAGGAGGACTCCAGGTGCGGCCTGACCAAGGCAGTCCATACAGAGGGGCTATATGACCTCCTGCGATTTCGATGCTATGGCCCTTTTAATACAACCCAAGACTGAATTGGCCTTTTTTGCCACCGCAAAAAAAAAAGGATTTAGCCTTGTGTCAAAAAAAAGAAAAAGGATCTAGCCTTGTGTCAAATGAAGATGCACACAAGTCAAATGATATCGCTATTGTGTGCCTACAAATAAATAATAAGAAAAGAAGTTTTCTAATATTAACTTGTGCTAAAATATAACATAAACTACACCTTAACAGAGTAAAATTCAAAATAAAGAAAATACCTTCAAATGTCTAGGTGTGAAACACCTTCTCACAGCCAATGTGCCTTCAGTATGGATCAGTGCTATGAGGTGGATGCCATTAGCTGAGATATCGTATATTGGAGGACACGGTTCTCCCATGCAACTCGGGGGGGGGGGAGTATTATATTCAGCTCGGCTTAATCAGAACCGGTTGCCTTTACTCGCCCTCCTCCTCTCTGCAGCTCCCCAGGGGTGTATTTAGAAGGTTTTGCGAAGGCTGCGGACTCTTCTTCTCCTGACCCGGGCAGGAGCCTCTGGGAGCCACCTCTGCGGCCTTTAACAAAGGCACTTCTCTCTTCACTGACCAAATGAGGAAGTTCTGGCTGGAAAAATGTCCTAAATTCAGGAAGGCCCCGATGGGAGCCACAGTGTTTACGTTTGCTAATGAAGCTGCAGAATGTGGGGTCTTCCCAATTCTTTTCTCCACTCCAAACCCAGTCGGGATTTTTTGATTGACCGACCAGGCCGCCCCCCCCGCCCTGTCCTCCTCTGCTGCTTTCATCCTGCGTCTTCCGACTGCGAGCCATGCAAGCCACGCTTC